GTGTGTGTGTGTGTGTGTGTGTGTGTGTCTAGACTTGCTAGGATATCTGATTATCTGATGATGGTTGTGACTCTGAGGAAGGGCTCTTGAGGAGAGCTGATTTCAAAGGTAAGGATGTCTAAGCTGGGAATCTGGAAAGGCCTAGGTCCCGTAGGAATTGGATTTTCATCTGTAGCCACACTCTTTTATTGAGAGCATCAAATTTTACCCACCCAAAAAATTGCATTTACTGATTCATTGATTTTTCTATTTTCTCATTCACATGGTCACTGAGCCTCTGTGTAGTAGGCACTGTGTTGTATGCTGCAGCTGCAGATGAAGCAGAGTGACTGGGGCTCTGTCTTACTCTGGGAGTGGCCAGAGGGCATGAAAACCAGATGCCCTAGTCTCCATGATCATCACATCCTCTACCCAAACAGCAGCTTTATATGTAAAACCATGATACTCAGAGATGAATCTTGCTTATTATGAGTCTTGCTTATTATGTATAATTACTTTTAATTAAGGACAGAATTAGTTCATCATCTATCACATATCCTACTAAGAAATCAGATCTATACATACAGCAAATAGACCTTACATGTGGCAAGAGAGGAGCTGTGGTTCTAGCCCACCTCTGTATTTTATTGGCTATCACACTTCTTTTAGGCTTTAGTATTTTTGTTGCCACTTTAAGGACTGTGTGTTTATTGAGAATAGGGACCATATCTTAAATCTCTATGTTTTTCCAATACATGTCACACCACCTGGCACATGACACATGCTCAATGGTTTTTTATTGAGTGGAACTATGTTTAGTTTTAGGAAGCCAACACTTCAATATTACTCTATTAGCACTTTTTATAATATGTGATATGGGGTTGTATAAAACTTTATTTATCCTAGATTTTAATATGTGTTAGCTTTAATGAAATTATACATGCGGCAAAGAACAAAATAATTGGAGAAATCACTTCTTAGGATTCAAATTAAATAGCATTAAAATGTAGAATCGTTCATGTGTGTTATTCAAGAAAGACCTCTTTTCAGAAGATTAAAAAAAAAAAAAAACACCTCAGTTAAATTATTTGATCATCTGGGCAGGTAGTTGAAGTAGCATTGAAGGGGGAAAAAGGCAGTGAGATAGCATTCAAAGTTTATGAAATTATAACTTTATATACCAAGTTTGAATTCGAATGGGTCACTCTCTTCTCTATGATGCCAAGAAGGCTACATGCCCGGAACAGTTAGGACAAAGTGTGGCATCAGTTTGATTTTCTAGCCCCCATAGAAACCTACCAGCTGTCACCACAGAACCTTTAAGTTCAGAAAAATCAAGTATCTGAAGGAAAACAGATTTTTCAGAATTGGGAAATTGCCTCTATATCTGCAAAAGTGCCAGTCCTCTCACTTTCCTGGTCTTCAAGGTGAGGGGAGACTGTAAGTGATGGTCAGTGCCAGAACCCAATCTATGTAGCTGTCCAGGCCCTGAACTATCAGGTATATAAAACATTACCTGGGTGCTTAAATATCACAGGAAGTATTACAGGTCAAGAACAATAACAACAAAAAATGCATGTGACAGAGCTCTTTCCAGGAAGAGAGTTTTATGAATTCAAAGACATATATTGGTAAACTGAGAGGGAGACCACCAAAGCAAGTTATAACACTGGATTGTCTGTAAATCCCCCAGAGGATAATGGGAAGCCATACACAGCATAGGTTTTTTGTTTGTTTGTTTGTTTGTTTGTTTGTTTTGTTTTCTGGGAATACATAAAATTATGGATAGGGGAAAATTACTGTTTATACCTCTTGTCTCTTTACCAAGCAATCACTCCTCTAAATGTGGAAAAAAAATTCAAAAATATTGTGTTGGTGTACTCATTTTAAAAGTCACTAAATTCACAAATGTCACAACCCATTCTTATGTACCTCTGATTAGAATGGAGGTATACTTAGTTGTGCTTTCTGTCCTTTCCCCTAAGTTCTTTGTAAAGGAAAATTGTGGGATTTCTTGTATCTGGTGTCTTGAAGCAGAACATCGATCACACTTTTCTAGTAATGAGAGAATAGACACTAAGACCTCTTAAATGGCTATCCTGAACTCCCATACTGGCTCTTATGATAACATTCTTAAATTGTTCTCCATTCATTGTGGAAATATTGCCTCAGCTCTTCTAAACACGTTTCATTCCTTTATAATTTCACTAAATCCTTTTATAGTCATAGGATGTTTTTCTGCTTTTTTTAAAAGTAGTTGAAACACAGTGTTACATTATTTCAGGCGTACAACATAATAATTCAACAACTCTGTGTATTGCGATGCTCACCACAGGTGTAGCTACCATCTGTCACCGTACAGTGCTATCATAACACCTTTGACTGTATTCCCTTTGCTGTAACTTTATCCCCATAACTTATTCATTTCATAACTGAAAGCTTGTATCTCCCACTTCCCTTTACCCATTGTTCCCATCCTTCCCCATTCCTTTTCTCTGGCAGCCATCAGTCCATTGTCTGTATTTATATCTCTGATTCTTCTTTCTGTTTGTTAATTCATTTGTTTTGATTTTTAGATTTCACATGTGAGTGAAATCATATGGTATTCTTTCAAAAGCAAGTTGACATACCAATCCAGGTGGCATCATCTTTTCTTATGAAGACATTGTGGATACTAGTGAATTAAACAAATTGCACTACTTTCTTGGGTTGAAAACTGAAGAACCATAGAGTCTTTAAGCCTCCAATAGTTCGTCCCGCTGACCAGGGAACTTGTGAATAGCAAATAGGATATGAATCTATAGTGCATGTAAGAACTAAAGTCAGCATGTATGATCAGAATTGTTAGGCAAAGATTCGGGTGGACTATGAGTGACTAGACACTGTTATGCCACTAAACGATTTTTTGTCTTTTAAACACTTCCTAACAGAATTTCTTTCAGCCTGAGCCTTTAGATTTTATTATCAGAGGCTTGTTTTCCTTTCTTTGAAGTTGCTTTTTTTGTCTTCTCACTTTGCAGCACTTTGATAATGTGAAGGGCTTCACTCTAGAGAAGTCATTGAAGCAAAGAAAAGCTTCACAGAGCCCTACTGAGAGAATTAAAACATATCACATTAATTCAGCCTTCCCTTTCTGTCTTTCATCAACTAAAGAAAGTTATAAAGAAAACAAACAAACAAAAAAAGAATTAATATGGAAACACACACATCCAGGGAGTTGGAGTTTTATTTTGTACTTTTGCACATGAAGAGCAAAAACCTCCATAAAGCTGATAAAGCTTTCTAACATCATCAAGTCTTCTACAATGAGTCATTAACTTGCTGAAGCCCAGAAAATCAAATTTGGTGTAAGGCTGTTTGATAATGTAGTAACACAGTAAAATGTGATTCACCAATTAGCTCATGTAATTAGAAAATCAACAACATGTTCTAAGTGGCTGGTGGACACATATAAGTAAAGTCTATTGTCGTTCTTTATAGTTACTGATTGTAGTTATAATCACACCTTCAGCTGATGACACTGCCTCCAAATTCCTTATGGAAAAGGATCCACAAATCAGATTCTTTTGTGTTTACAAATCAGACACATAAATTAATACTTAGTTCAGTCAGTCATTCTGTCACTCCTTTTTTTTTTTTTCAGTTTTTTTTTTTTTTCTTTCCTTCATCAATTCTCTCTTGCCAGGCTCTGTTAACCAGTAGCACATCTGGTCCTTGTCTTTACCGAGCTCTCAGTCTACAAGAATTAGGTTAAACTCTTCTAAGAAAAGAAAAGTCAACTGTGTAAAGCCCTGCCAAAATAATGGCTTAAAATGATAGTAGTTAAAAATTAGTCTTTCTAGATGATCCCTAAATACTAATGATGTTACCGAGCTACTAGTAAGAAACAGACACAGCCAACTAAGATTTTTTCTAATGCAGAGGTTTATGCCTGGTTGAAAAGGACTCTGTGATAAGAATGGCAATTAAATATGTTAGATTATTTTAAAGCAGCTCTTCATCTATTCTGTATACACACCTGTTGATACCTAAGGGATATATTATACATTGCTATGTTTAAGTATTTCTCTTTGTAAATTCATGTCAATGTAAGCAATGTAAGGTTATTTAGATGTTGTTAAAACTTTCTCGCTAAGCGTTAAAAAAACTAAAAAGAAAAAAAAAAAAAAAAGGAGGGGGGACCTGAGTAGCTCAGTCCTTTAAGGGTCCTACTTTGGCTCAGGTCTTGATCTCACAGTTCGTGAGTTCGAGCCCTGCTTCAGGCACTGTGCTGATAGCTCAGAGCCTGGAGCCAACTTTGGATTCTGTGTCTCGCTCTGTCTCTCTGCCCCTCCTCTGCTCATACTCAGTCTCTCTCTCTCTTTCTCTGTCTCTCAAAAATGAATAAATGTTAAAAATTAAAAAAAAACCTTTCTTACTAGAAATTTCACACATTTCCTACTTCATTCTTTTCTTGCTGCTGCTTGAGGTACATAGCATGATTACACTGTCCAGGGCTTCCTAATAAATATAATAAGGATAATGGGGATGACATACCTGAACTTGAGACTGTAAAAAAAAACAAATTCTTATCTGATAAGGTTATTCTTAATGCTAGTTTTTGGAAAAATATGACATATGGTTATACTGCCTTCTCCACTGACTTTTTAGGTCATATTTTAGTGTTCATTCATGGAAATTTTAGAAGATATTGGGGAATTACTTTCTAGTAACTGAAACATTAACCCTAGGTGGTTTATTTTTTGTAACCTCACAATGCCTATTTTATATTGTTCCCTCTGCCCTAAATATCACAAATTCTAAGGAATGCAATAAGCTTTGCTAATTTTTGTAGAGTTTCACTCATACATTTTAGAATAGCTTAGACTGTATTTTATTTGGATGAAAACATAAAATCACACACATTAAGAAAGTGTGGCTTATTCATAGCCAGTATGAAACTTAACCCCAAATATTATTAAAATGCAGCCATCTCCCCCTCAATATGTATTTAATCATTCTTTCTTTTTTCCTATATACAGGTCAATGGGACAGAAATTGAATATGAGTTTGAAGAAATTACATTGGAAAGGGTAAGAAAAATCGAATAATACAAAACTTCAATCTTGCATTTAACATTCTGCATCCTAATGAATTGTTTTGTGAAATTGCACAACTGTGTATTATACCTTAGATGTTTCCAATAGGACTCAAAACAAAAATATTAATTAAAAGCTTCCAGAGGAGGGCACAGAGACAAACAGACCAAATCACCAGAATGTTCCATATGTAAACTGCATTGCCAAGATATGGAGAAATGAATGAGGACAGAAATATTCAGTGAGCTATAGTATAGCATTTTTCCCATTGTTTCCATTATTAATGTTTTGCTATACATTCTTAGATACATTACAAAAATTTTCATTATGTAATAGTGTACTATCTCATAACTACCATTACCATACATTTTTTAGTTAAAAAAACACATGCAATGCATTTTAAGACCACCCCCCATGGAGAAAAAACACAGCAATCCTGCAGATCTCTGCAAATATGTTATTAGGGCTTGGCAAGACTTTGACAAATCAGCACAATATGTGTAACAACCCTAATGTATAAAGATTTTACAAAACAGTAAGAAGACCAAAAACCACTTAGAAAAAAATGACCAAAAGCATTAACAGGACATTCATCAAAAAATAAAAGGCCAATAACATATGGAAACTTGTTCAATGTTATTAACAAAAAAAGGAAACAATGATTCTAAATGGTTTTTGTCTGTCCAACTGGCAAAATTTTAAAGAAAAGTTAATATTCACTTCCACAGAGTAGGCGTAGAAATTGTGACAACCATTAAAAAAGCTATTTAGGCAAATGGATCAAAAGCTTTAAAATGAGCACACTTTTTGACTCAGAAATTATACTTATAAAAACGCACAAAGACACAAAGAATATTCATATTGGTGTTGTTTATAACAATGAAGATTGAAATAGACAAATGTTAGGTAATACATATGTCCAAATCATAGAAAATTATATTAAATTACATTATAATAGTATTTTAAAAGAATATTTAACTATAAGAATGGAAAGCCTAACTAGGTTATCTTATTAAATTAAAAAATTACATTTCATAATAATATTTAAAATATAATCCCATAAGCAACAACATGAATAATTTGTGCTCATAATAATATACATAAAGCCTGGAAGATATACATCAAAATGTTAACTCTTATTAAGGATTTCAGATAATTTTTAGTTTTTTCCTCTTGTTTATATTTTTTCCTAAACATTCCACAATAAACATATAATTCACTTATAGTAAGAAATAAAAATTTAAGTATTTTTCTAAGCTTTATCATTCAAGTATCAATTCAGACTCTAGACCTGCACTTAAATTTATATCTCCTTTTAAGTTTACTGATTATGCACTTTCCTGAGTCAGGGAATTTTTCATTCTTAGCTTAATTTTTATTGAGCATGAGTGGTTTCAAAAAGAAATTTACATTAAAAGTTAAGTGTTTGACAGATGTGTTCTTTAAAACTTCCATTATGAACTTTGGTTAAATTTTAATGGCATACTAAATGGAGAAAAATGAGACTTAAGGAAAATTAACCCAAATGAAAAAAAAAACACATTTCTCCTACAAAATCACTAATCTTCTCTCTAGGACTAGCTATATAATTTGTGAAGCACAGTGTAAAATGTAAATGTGGAGCCCTGTTTAAAAATTATTAAGAATCAAAAAAGGCAGTAAGAGCCCAGCATTAAATGCCATGTGACCCTTCTTAAATGCAAGACCCTGTTTGACTGCACAGATCTCACACTCACAGAACCAACCCTTCTCTCTCCCCACAGCCCACCATTAAATATGACAGCATTTTGTTACTCTGGTTCTATAGGGCAGAAAATCAAAACTAACTGGTGTGAGGAAGAACTTTCAGGGGGAGTGAGACAACTGTGTGTTCTAGTCTCCATTTTGTCACTTACTTGCTTACAAGATTTAGTGTGTCATCTTACCGCATCATCTCAGTCACTCAGAACCTTGTCACTGCCATTAATGGGACTCCCTCCCAAACACCTCTGTCAAGCACTGTCTTCGCTGAATACCACCTCCTCTTCATCCTTATCATTTATGCCAGTACCCCCCACCTCAAAATTTCCTCCAACTCCTTTGGGATCTTGAATCACAGATTTTACCCTTTCTCTCCAGTTTTCACCTTTTGTATGCCCACCCCTACCCCACCTACCATACTCTGAGCCTCCCTGTCACAGACTTTTAACATTTCTACTCTTCTCCCCCTTTTTGTGTTCACCCAGCAAAGCCTCAGTCCTCCGTGCCAGCACCTGGGCAAATGAATGGGTCTAGAGAAGCACTCCTTCATCTCACTTGAAATATATAGCTATTGATTCCAAGTGAACCTTCAAACCATCCTCACAATTCCTATACATTTTTAGAAAAATCACTTTCTCGTTCTCTGGGACAATAGGTTTACACCTTATCTGCTCTCCTTATATCTCAAACACCCCATCCCTCCTACTCAGTCTCAGTTGTTGACCTCTCTTCCTGTGTCCTTGAGAAAATCCAAGCAATCAAAGAAGACCACCTTACTTTCCTACCAACAGGTATGCTAGCATGCTTTCCCTGTTACAATGGGAGAATGTTCCCTGCTCTTTTACAAGGCCAGCCATTCACTTATGACCTGCACTGCTTAACCTCTTGTCCATTGAAGGATGTTGCTTCTGTAGTTTTTCCTCTCTCTCTCCTGAAATATCAGTTGCTTTCTCATTTTTTCCTGGATAAATTTAATACAGACATGATGTAATCTTTCTCATTAAAATAGAAAAGAAGAGTCCTCTAGTAATGGAGTCCTAAAGGAAAACAAGACAAAATGTCACTTTACCCAGTGTTCCCCACCTATTATTGTTTCATGATTCTATTTTTCTTTACCAAAAATTGAGGAGAGTTGTCTATTTCCAATAACTCCACTTCCACTACTTCATTTTCTTATTTGAACCTAGTTCCTGTTTTCATCCCCTCAGTAGCCCTGAAACGATCTTTATCAAAGTCTTGACAGCTTCCATCTTGCTAAATGGAAGCATCAGTTCTCTGTCCTGAGTTCTCAGTGGCATTGGATGCAGCTGTCACTGCCTCCTTCCCTCAAGATGATAATTTCCTGCCTTGCAGAATAAAACATTTCTCCTATTCATTCACCATCTCATTGGTACCCTGTCTTAGTCTCCTTGCTGGCTTCTCCTCTAAATATTGGAGCATTCCAGAAACCCAATGCACAGAGCTCTTCTCAATTTCTCCTCATTCTCTACCGATCTCATCTACATGCTTGGCTTTAAATACCAATCATCAACTGATGATTCCCAAATCTGAGTCATGACCTCTCTCCTGCATTCCAAATGTAAACAGCTAGCTGTCTATTTGGCATCTCTCTTGAATATCAAGGTCTTCTAAACTTAGTATGTTGCTAACAGAAATCATGATTTCCCTGCACACCCTACCCTTGGGGCAAAAACTACTTCTACCCTAATATTTTTCATCCCAGCTAATTGGTTCTATCATTTTCCTTATTATTCAGGCCAAAAAAAATATCCTCTAGGAGTCTTGCTTAATTGCTCTTTTTCCCTTGGCATCCAGGGCAAGGCCTACCAATGCTACCATAAAAATATATTTCAAAATCAATCACATTTTACCATTGACCCTGCTGAATTCTAGTCCAAACTAATATCATCCCATGCCTGGACCACTTCAGTAGTTTCCACTTTTGCCCACTCCTCCTTAAAACAGCCAGAGTAATCTTTTTCAAAAAATAAACCTGATTAGATCATTTTTATTCTTAAAATTCCACTTATTATCATTTCCTGCAAAACTTTATGCACCCTGAACCCTGCTTCTCTCTCTGACATTATGCCCTCACCACCAACTCCTAGAACATTTCACTCTAGCCACATGTACTTTCTTGTCATCCCTCCAAAAAGCCAGGCTTTTCCCACCTCAAGGTCTTTAAATTTTTTACTCGGTCTTCTCGAAATAATCTCCTCTTGGATCTTTACATGCCTTGCTCTTTTCACCCTTTAAATATGTGCTCAAATGTCTCAGAAAAGTCTTCCTTGAGCACCCCATTTAGTCAGTGCCAACATCAACCATACACTTTTTTTTCCATTTTCATAACTTTATTACTTTTTTAGTGTTTATTAATTGTGTGTGTGTGTCTGTGTGTGTGTGTGTGTGTGTGTGTCTGTGTGTGTGCCCATGTGCAAGCAGCATAGGGGCAGAGAGAAAGAGAATCCTAAGCAGGCTCCACAGTATAAAGTGCAGAGCCAGACATGAGGCTCGAACTGTAAGATCACGACCTAAGTGTAAATCAAGAGTTGGATGCTTAATGGATGGAGCCACCCAGGTACCCTACTTTATTGCTTTTTTAATTGCACTTATGAATATCTGAAACTTATGCTATTACTTTATTCCTCACTTTGTTAATATCTATCTCCCTCCCTAAATATATGTATGTAAATACATAGTCATTTCTGTATCCAATTTGCCTAGAACACTGTCTGGAATATAGTATGTACTCTGAATATTTGATGTATGAATGGATTATACCAGTGCTCTAGCACAGCAAATGGAGTGAAGTCACAAGGCCTGCATTTGAATCTTGCTTCTATCACTTACTGGTTGAGTTACTTTGAGCTGAATACTTAACCTTTCTGTGCATTAATATTCACACCTGAAAATGAGCCTAAAGTGTTTATGATTTTCTCCTAGGGCCTTTGTGATGATTACATGAGTTAATATAAAGGTTTAGGACAGCATGTATAGTTGCTCTTCTTAGCATTTCCTTTGTGCTAACATAGTAGTTCTCATAAGTGTTATTTATTAGGGTGGACGAAACTCAATAAAAACAGAGCCTACTAGTCTCAGTGATCTAACATGTCTCATTAATATAATAAGAATGTCTCTCATATCAGTTTTTTTTCCAGTTACTTTGTTAAATGTCAGACATCCAATGATGAAGTTATGGATCTTGCTATATGCACTTCTACTTTTTCTCCAATTAAATCTAACATTTAATTTAG